AAATAAAACAAAAATCGAATTAAAAAATATTATTAATCCATTACACTGCTTTCAATTACTGATTTTATACGTTTAATTCAATAATTGTTCATTTATTTTAAAGTAGATTTTTATCACCAGCATACTACTAAATGATATATTATTACACATCATTTAGTGTTGTATTGGTGATAATAAAAGATAATAATTGGACCCAAACCATAATTGAGATGATTTTACCCGAGTATTTTATGAATATTTTTGGTAAATTCCGTGAGTACATATAGGTGTAAATTTAATGTTCATAATCTGAAAAATCGTCGTGCATCGTGCTGTCGGTTCGAATATAATTTTTTATCAACGTGTTTTTTTTTCTGATATCACATATGGTACCCAGTATTATTAGTACAAATAATAACTTTATGATATTTTATAATAATATAGTAATAAATTAATATCACAATACTAAAAACTATTTATGAATACTCATTACATTGTGTAAATATTATTTAATATTACCACTGATATTTATTGATAAATACATTGCATTATACATGTAATAAATAAGTATTATATTTCAAAATAATCTTGAAAAAAGCTGAAGTATGAAATAGGTATCAAGTAGAGCCAGAAGATATTATAAAGTACTTGTATTATTTGATTTATGAGAAATCATCATAACGTTTAAGTTGCATGGACATTGTTACTTATATATAAACACAGATATCTCATTTCGTTATCATCATCATTTCATATCATCATGTGTTGTCTTTTTTTTATGCAAACAAGCTTACGGTCCACCTGAGGGAAAGTGGTAACTGTCCCCTATAGACATGAACAGTATCATAGACAACAAAATATACTGTTTTGCCCATGATGCTCTCCATGTGTTCCCTTTCCTGAGGACTAAGGTGTTATGCCCCTGTACCCTGTAAATTTACTGCCATATCCCACCTTTCTTTGTCTTTCTTTAGATTACGTAATAGATGATTATAATAAATCTAACAGCAAAACAGGAAATTCTCAATATAAAGTCCTAGAAAAGCCATAAGTAAAAATTAGTACTGACACACTAAACGAAAAAGAATATAAAATATGAGTAAAAGAAATGCTCAAATATTTTTCAGTACTAATTGTTTTTGTGAAGCCGAAACCACCGTTCAAATTTAATTTCTTGCGAGATAGAAAACGTAGTGTAATAGAATACGCACCCTTTACGATCTTTAATCATAGAGTAAGGGCCCTTGTGTAAACGCTAAACCAGGCCGTCGGCCGTCGAATTAAATGAAATCTGAACTCTGAACTTTATTTATGTGAAACGAGGTTGTAAGGCTCGTATAAAGTGGAACAATTTTGTTAAAACACTTATAAGCTCTTCTATCAATGAATAGTGGAATCAAATACTAAATTTTATTTATGTGTAACATGTTAATAAGACCTGTATAGAAGCGAATATTTTTGTTCAAATCTTTACAAGTTCTTCTGTTAATTAATGGAGAAATATAATTGTGAAAAAACTTATAAGGCTTATGTAAAAGTTGGAGAAATTTGGGCAAAATCAGTTATTTTAATTTAAAAACAAAACTACCGAGCCGATTTCGATAAAATGTCTATAGAACCAATCTGTTATCATATTCTTTCAGATAAAAAAATTTTCAAATTGGTTTACAACTGACGGAATTATGAGGTAACAAAAATAAAAAAAAATATAACCAAATTGAGAACTTTATTCTTTTTGAAGTCTGTTAAAAATGCTCATTAGCTTTCTATTTATGAACTTTATAAATGTATAAGAATAAGAATATTTTTAAAGTAAACTCAATTATAAAAATGCTTAATTTGAATAATCAATTTTTAATAAATTCTACCATGATGTTATGTGTAACAAAGTAATATATACAAACGGAACAGTTTCTTTAATCTTTAACATATAAACCATATGATAAATATTTTATACATTTGAACATTATTCATTTAATTAACGAACTAACTACCTTTATACAAGTCTTATAAACATAAGGCTTGTATAAAGGTAAAACAATATGATAACAAGCTAAACAAATATAAGTAGAATGTATTATTTATTTTTAATTAATGTTTTATTTCATATTGAATAACAGTTAAACATAGTAATAATTCTGTCTATGTATAATTATTACCATTTACTCGATTTAAATAAATAATAGTTGAGACTTTTTAGTAAACTACTGATTTTAATTAAAAGAAAAACAAACAAAAATACACTGAATAAAGTAGTAATGTATTGATGTACTGCTATTATTAATATCTAAACACATGATGAATTTATCGAAATAAGTTTTCTATTAAAATATACTTTTAGTTTATTTATAAGTGAAATGCGCATTAATCAATCTACGAAAATAGAAATTAATAAATAATGAAGACAGAACATAAATATCAATCAAACTCAACAAGTTTTACAACATTAACTACTTTTTTCTGTGCTGACGTCATCCAGGGAATTTGATTAACTGGGCAGTTATTAATTGTTCTATTAAAAAAGATTCCTTTTTCATTTTATATTCATCCAAGAGTATAATACCACCACTATAGTCATAATAACACCATTATACCCGTAGTTCCTAAATAAATACCATGGGTATCGCGGAGTAGTACCAGAAGGAGACTTTGTACAAAAGTCGATTGCTTGGTCCTATTCATGTTTCTACCGTGAAGCAGTTGTGTTTGCATGGCTGTGTCTCGGTTTGAAGGATGGGATATGGCGTGAATTTACAGGGTACAGAGGAATAACATCACCTCAGTTCATGTTATGTCCATGGTACTTCAATAGGCGACGGTTACCACTTTCCATCAGGCGGGCCGTCAGCTTGTTTGCCATTCTAAGTTGTATAAAAAAAAAAGAGTTATTCGTGGCACTGTTCATATTTTAAGGCGGCATTTGTCCCTTTCAATCAAAAAGATTGTCAACTTGTATTCTATTCAAAGTTACATAAAAAAAAATAAAAATAATAGATTGGCTTTAATACTGTACATCTTATGCTTATTATAAAGGAATTACATAGTTTTAAACTTTTATCATAAACACAAAAAAAATTATAATATATATTTTTTTTTTATATTTATTATATAAGTACCTACAAAATTTTATTACATGTCCACTGATTTAACTTTTATCTAGTTCTAAATATTTTAAATAACTATAGAATCTCTATATTTTAACTGTTTGAGGTTAAACCCGATATTCTATCTGTAATAGTGTGATTTAGATCGTCCAATCTAATTACTATAAGTATTTAATTTTACACGTTCACGTTGTTTACACGTATTTTAAATACACTATCGGGACTTACACGCAATGAAAAATCCTGATCCTGTCGATTATATTGTACCACGACGTGGCATCTACGTCGGCAATTAAGTTGGCAAATAAGAAGCAGGTATTTACTATTTACTAGCAAACATTTTTCATCGCGTTAAGTCCCGATAGTGTATTTAAAATACTATTAGTACTTTAATTTTCACCAAATATAGCTAAAAACTGTTACGATTGAATTAAGTTTCGAATAAAGTAACAACATTAAAATGATTTCATATATTTAAGTGCTGTGGGATTACACACAGATATATAAACACAGAGACAATGTATTAATATACACTTTAAATGTATGACCTAATTTGTGGATTTAACCTCAATATCGGTGAAAAATTTTTGTGACACACAATTTGCAATATGTTCGTAAAAATATTAACATTGCATTGTGAAATCCAATATCATAATTGTAGATTATTATATTCATAAAAACGTAAATAAATTGTATATTGTTACATGTATTTACATTTTCATAATCACTCAACGAAGGTCTCCAGTAAATTTCTCACATATTACATTGTTTAGTTTCACGGTCAATTTATAATTATCTTTGCTTTTCTGTTAGGTTTGTTTTGAAACTTATAATTTATTCATATACATAAATATTTTGCTTTCCAATACTTTGTTTATTTTGTGAGCTAAAAACCTCTAATAATGGTTATGAGTTTAGTCACAAACAATTATTAACCTACTCGTTATTAATCTACTCGTTTATACTCGTAAAACACCTATAGTTTATGGAATTCTGCATTATTTTGGGAGATATGCCCAGACTTTTCTGTACTGGCGAAAATACATAAAACTAGTTATAAAAATGCAATAAACAAAATATATGTGCAAAGATTTGATTCTATATTTTACGTAAAAGGCCTAGTTTGAAGATGTCATCATTATCATCATCATCATCATTATCATATCAGCCATTATCTGTCCTATATATATATGTATATGTATATATATATATATATATATATATATATATATATATATATATATATATATATATATATATATATATATATGTATATATGTATATATATATATATATGTATATATGTGTATATATATATATATATATATATGACTTGCTTCAATGTGTCATATTTCTGGTATTAATTCTTTACTAAACCTAGAAGTCTCCTACAAACTTCATAAGGATATGCCATAACAATATGTATATTTTTAGATATTTCTTTATAGTAACTCATAAAGATAACAGATACATATTAACCGAGATAGTTCGATGACAAAACTGTAGAACGATCCTTTCTGACTATAGATGGTTCTATTATGGAAATTGTTCTGTTTCAAAACGTACAGATAAGTGAAGGTTACGTGTGAATTATACATGCATTCCTATTGGCAGAGAGCTAACAGTTGAGCTGAACTGAATGAATATTGTATATAGACTTCAAATTTGAGCGGCACAGTATTTTGTACCTCGGAAGCATTTTAAAAAGCTTTACCAACTCCAAAGAAAATACAGCATCATATTTCATAACGTCGCCTATTTATAGTCTGGGAGCGATTCGCATAAGAATTCCCGTGCGGTGGCGCGAAGAAACGAGTGTTGGAGATACAAACCGCGGCATACATTTGAGATGGTAACACCGGGAGGGTGCTGGCAACATCGCGAGTTACTCTCCGTCCTAGTACGGCGTGTTTATTCTGCCGCGTATATCGACCGGCAAACGGGTCGCGGGTGCGCGCCGACTGGCTCAGTCTACACAGAGCCGCCGACCTCGTCCCGCGTCTCCACAGGCACACGAATGACAGCCGTCGATATTCCAACAACAAATCGTCGTTCCTCATGCTAATAAAATATAAATCGACTAAGCATACCCGAGCATCGCAGTCTACATAAACTGTACCGAGGTCAAACGTCGACCACGAGTGCTAATAAGACAAAAGATTTGTTGTGTCATGTGAAAGTGCTATGCTGGGTTGCAGTTCTTCAGGCGGCTGTTCAGACGGTGAGTTTTATGAAATACACTAGATCTAATATTAGTTTTTAAAACTCAAAGTAAAAAAAGACTTAAAATTACAGCGTGTGTGATCATGTAACAGTAATTAAATTGATATTTTCTGACCTACGATAAGAAATCTTGTGAGTACTTATGTATAATTAAGTGGTAATAAACAATTCATTCATAAGTTTATCAATAAGTATCAAACTGTAAATATGAGATATCGTTACTGAATTGTAGGTGTTGTTGCATAGTCCAATGACCGTGATGTAGCGCCAGGCTACGACGTAGCGGACGCGTAGTAAACCGTAGCAATTAGTGTCATATTGTCGAGTTATTTATCTCTTTACGGCTATAACAGCGCGCTGAAGCTTACTTACACTCTGTGAAAAATGGTATTTGTATTTCAAACAAGGCTTGTCTATCCTCTCATCCGTGTTAATCATACTTTATGACTAGAATAAAATATTTTTGTATTAGATAAAATGTTTGAGGTTACATTTTTGAAATTATTCTCTTTATGCAGAATAGAAATAGCTGTTCGAGATACGTTAGATATTTTTTATTTGTTCAAATTTTAATTTACAAATAATAATTAATTTTACAACTGTATAATTTACTAGTTAAAATGTGATATAACTGGCTCATTCATTTATTTTTTAAATTATTGATTATTTTTGTATGCATAAAGTCTGTAATATAAAGAAAACAATAAATTAAAGTAATATATTTATATAAATGAAAACAATAATACAGTAAATATAACCATCAATCAATCGGTCGCTTAGATCAGACTCCGAGTTCGACAAGTAATTTTTGTAGGATTTATTAATTATTCTTATTCCACAGAGTAAGTTTACTTTAAAATGGCTCTATACTAATTTTGTTATAACTAATTATTGAATTAAAATATAAATTATTGTTTTATTTTTATTTATTTCAAATCGTTAACATTTTAGCATATACCTTTGCATGTGTCTCCTGAAATGTTATGACCTTGTTATATTTTAATGTTGTAAATAAATTTTATATGCGAATCTAATTGAGACAAACATGCTATTTGAACATTACGTTAACACGACGACATATTAAAGTGTAACAAATATACGAAGTGCAACGTAATTTAGGGTGTTAAAGCATACTTTACAAAAATCGAGTTTAATACCCACCGAGTTTAATAGCTCTCTCATCCTAAGGATGTAATATTAACGGAGTTATACATTTGCATCGGTTGGCTTTTATTATATTATATCAGCCATTATTTGTCTACTGCTGAACATAGGCCTTCTCCATAAGGAGAGTTTTGCTAGTAGTAGCTATATATATATATATATATATATTCTAAAAATTACATATAACAATCATATATTTATTAAAGTGGGAGCAGTCACTCCAAACTTTGTATATTTTTATGTTCCAAACTGACGGAACAACCTAGGTATTCATATATGATATAACATACGCACGTCCAACAATAACCGTTGGGCACTGAGCACAATATCCTCGAAATTCGGCACAAATTTATGTGACCATGAGAATTCCCACGTGTCAGAGATTTATGTGGATCATCCCAAAATCCACGTGTACGGGTGTATAAACGCACCTTTATAATTAAATGAATAATTCTAAACTATTATATAGGTACTTTGTTTATTGATGTAATAATTTAATATATAATAATAATAGTAATAACACATCTAATATCAAGTTTAGTATTTTTCCTAGGAACCGATTCCTAACATATCTCAAGTACTACGCATAGGCCAAATATCTTGACATTCGGTTAAGCCATCAAAATGTCAAGAGCTAACAAACAAACAGACTCATTTGTCATTATCCATATTGGTTCTTACTTAATTAGTCAGTGCCTTTGACCTCGTAAAAAGCAATTCCTGAAATTGGTTCGAATGAAAAATTAATGTAATTTTCACTCGAATGTTGAAGCAAATACAGAACGTTTTGAGCTATGAAATATGTTTGTGTAAGTACAGACAGAGCTACTTTAAATCTTTGTTAGAACATATAACATTTAGAATTTCGCGTTTCATGAATTATAGTTTATAAGGACTAGAATTAACAGGACGTTTCGACTAGAGGCCCTATCATGAAAAATTTTCCGAAACTTTGGAGCTGATTAGAACACAAATTTGATATTAAAATCACATAATAAAACTTGTTTAAAAATATTAAAATGTCGAGATTTTATATCTTTAGGGTAGGAAACTTTATTTACTTGGCATATTATACATATAATGTATTATTGCCCGCTTTTGTTATACATAATATATATTAAGTATGAACAAAAGCGGGTCTGTAATTTCGGAATATCATTTCGTAGTTGATTCCCAAGTTACACCGGTCGTGATCACGAATAGACTGATGACGCGATATCATGTCTTATCTTTCAAATAAAGTCATGGTGAGTATGGTGAGTACTGTGTTAAGAAACCATGAATATAGTGATACAAATTGTTGGATAATGATTGTGTGGAGAAAAAAGCTTCCGCCTCGGAATCAGAGATATGGCAATACCATATTAAGAGTCTACTCAAGACCACAGCTGGTATAACCTAGTCGAAACGTCGAAATATTTCAGGTTTAATAATATTTAATAATTGCTGTTTACCTAAAGTAGTATTAATTCCCATTTCTAATGAACCATACTACGTATAACGATCAGAAAATATATCCCAGTCAACTTATTTTTATAGTATAGTTTAAATGAATTGATGAAATTTATTAACAGTTGTTGTATTCGTATTTATGAATGTACTTTTGGTATATTGTGAGAAATTTAAAAAAATTCGTCTTAGATTTTTTTTTATCTATACTACCTGTACATCTTTATATATACCTGTTCTAGATTTTTCTAAGATACTACAACATAGGGGTTATAAAAAAGGGATAAAGAGGTTTTTTCAGTGTGGCCAACGTGTGCGAAATGCCCCTGGTAACCGCATACTTCATGCTTGGTTGCAACCTTAGTGGTATAATATTATAATATAAAGAGGTAAAGTTTGTGAGTTTGGCTCTTCGGGGTAATCTCCAGCACTACCGATCCGATTTTGAAAATTATTTCACTGTTAAAAAAGTTACATTATTCCTGAGTACTATAGACTACCTTTTATTTTGGTAAATATATATTTTCAGTAATGTAATTAATCTATATATGTATAATATCTATGTTTAATATCTCACCCAAAAAAAGGTTTTTTATGTTAAAAGTAAAATAAATTTTACATGCCGTTCATTTTAAAATCTTAAGCAAAATATTGCTTAAGATTAATAATGCAATACTTTCGCACTCGCCAAAATACCAGTCTTACTATAATCTTTTGAACAGTTTAAAAGTTACACATCCAAATATTGCACCCGTGCGAAGCCGGGGCTGGTCGCTAGTAGATTAAAATAAAGTAACAGCCCCTATGCTATTGATTTTCGCTGGCTAGGTACCAGTGAGAGATGATAGGTGAAAATGAAGTTAGGTCAGTTGACCCATCATAACAGGAAATCTCTAGGAATTAACCATGATACTTTTGCGACACCTACCCACTTCTATATGTTTTCCTTTGACCAAAGTTTATCTGTAAGAGATTGCCCTAGCGATAAGACTTCCTTTTGTACCTTAATATGTATATTTTGATCTGTACTTTATGTTACTGTATTTTAGTTGAATTGTTTATATGTCATTGTTTATTTTTATGTTTTTGGTGCAATAAAGAGTTAAATAAATAAATAAATATTATAGTTTCCAAGAAGACTGCGTGGAGATCGACTCGGTAAAGTATCGTATATTGTTACAATAATTTCATGTTATCTGATGGTCTTTATTATGTTATATGAGTACGTACGTTTACAGATAATAATACATACTACAAAGCATTGGTCAATGAATAATTATATACAATCACACCTTACGTATTAAATTCCGTTAATAACGCTTATTATGGGTCTAGTGAAGTTGTTAGCAAGTGACGATAATATTGTCATATTTATTATTTAAAGGTCAAAGGTTAATCAATACTCAAATAGATACTAAAAAATACTAATATTTAAAACAATGCTAACAGGACCATACCCGGTATAAAATGGGCCACCCCTTTTTTACCCGCGGGTTTCGTTCAAGGCGATTAAGGAAATTTAAAAGTCGAGGGACACTGGTGGGCGGTAGTGTTCCTTTTAAAACATCACCAAAACCTAACAGCGGTTGCTAACCCGCCTACCAATCATGACAACTACTGGAAAAACTCCCTTTATGGGATAGGCCTATGTTTAGCAGTGGGCACTTAATAGCTGATGATGATAATAATAATAATAAATTTAAAATAAGCGACCCGCCCCAACTTCTAGCTTATCTTACTCGTAGATATTGTAGTTTTCTGTAGGTTTTTTTTTTAAATAGGTTATACATATTTTGAGTGTATTCATTAAAAAAAAGTCAAATCTTTCCTCTTTATAAAATTATAATTGAATATCTCAATATCAGAATACAAACAACAAACAGTATTATAAATATAATTTGTAAAGATTATTTTCATAAAGATATGTTAAATACGTACCTAATAGGTATTTATTTCTTAATAAACACACAAGTGTAGGAGTAAATGTCATGTTTAATGAGATTTAACAAAGAACCTGGAATGAAAACATGAAATAGAATTAAAAAACATACAAATTTTTGAATAATAATAAATAAGATATTTCAAAATGTAATTTAAATTCATGACAACTTCACGAACATATACCATCGTTTTTTTTATTCATAAAGTTTGACTCTCAATTACGTTTATATATAGTTGAGTATTATACTTTGTCCACTTTATACAAGTTCCAAGTTCCCCTTGCGTCTTAAGCTTCACCTTTTGAGGTCATTATGCAGATTTTATATTTGACAAATTCGTCTGACCATAATATTTTCGATTTTACTTGTTCACCCTTAATATATGCTTCATCGCTATACCAACACGAATTATAAACATACACCTCTCTCATAGCCCGTTTGATAT